ACAACATCCATGTATGCATATGAACATTTCAGTAAGTGTATATTAAGATGTTAATAGACAACATCCATGTATGCATATGAATATTTCAGTAGTGTATATTGAGGTGTTAATAGACAACATCCATGTATGCATATGAATATTTCAGTAGTGTATATTGAGGTTAATATACAACATCCATGTATACATATGAATATTTCAGTAGTGTATATTGAGGTGTTAATATACAACATCCATGTATACATATGAATATTTCAGAAGTGTATATTAAGATGTTAATAGACAACATCCATGTATGCATATGAATATTTCAGTAGTGTATATTGAGGTTAATATACAACATCTGTGTATACAAATGAATATTTCAGTAGTGTATATTGAGGTGTTAATATACAACATCCATGTATACATATGAATATTTCAGAAGTGTATATTAAGATGTTAATATACAACATCCGTGTATACATATGAACATTTCAGTAGTGTATATTAAGATGTTAATAGACAACATCCATGTATGCATATGAATATTTCAGTAGTGTATATTGAGGTTAATATACAACATCTGTGTATACAAATGAATATTTCAGTAGTGTATATTAAGATGTTAATAGACAACATCCATGTATACAAATGAATATTTCAGTAGTGTATATTGAGGTTAATATACAACATCCATATATACATATGAACATTTCAGTAGTGTATATTAAGATGTTAATAGACAACACCCATGTATACAAATGAATATTTCAGTAGTGTATATTGAGGTTAATATACAACATCTGTGTATACAAATGAATATTTCAGTAGTGTATATTAAGATGTTAATAGACAACATCCATGTATACAAATGAATATTTCAGTAGTGTATATTGAGGTTAATATACAACATCTGTGTATACAAATGAATATTTCAGTAGTGTATATTGAGGTGTTAATAGACAACATCCATGTATGCATATGAATTTTTCAGTAGTGTATATTGAGGTTAATATACAACATCCATATATACATATGAATATTTCAGTAGTGTATATTAAGATGTTAATAGACAACATCCATGTATACATATGAATTTTTCAGTAGTGTATATTGAGGTTAATATACAACATCCATCTATACATATGAACATTTCAGTAGTGTATATTAAGATGTTAATAGACAACATCCATGTATGCATATGAATATTTCAGTAGTGTATATTGAGGTTAATATACAACATCGTGTATACATATGAACATTTCAGTAGTGTATATTGAGGTGTTAATATACAACATCCATGTATACATATGAATATTTCAGAAGTGTATATTAAGATGTTAATAGACAACATCCATGTATGCATATGAATATTTCAGAAGTGTATATTGAGGTTAATTGACAACATCCATGTATACAAATGAATATTTCAGTAGTGTATATTGAGGTGTTAATATACAACATCCATGTATACATATGAATATTTCAGAAGTGTATATTAAGATGTTAATATACAACATCCATGTATACAAACGAATATTTCAGAAGTGTATATTGAGGTTAATATACAACACCCATGTATACATATGAATATTTCAGAAGTGTATATTAAGATGTTAATATACAACATCCATGTATACATATGAATATTTCAGAAGTGTATATTAAGATGTTAATATACAACATCCATGTATACAAATGAATATTTCAGTAGTGTATATTGAGGTTAATATACAACATCTGTGTATATGTGACAGGTCAAATGTATTCACATTCTAATTAGCCTTGTAATTCACTTTGCGCATGCGCAGTGGTGCTCAACTTGACATCCAGTCAGTTGGTCACTGAGATTTGCGGCGTGAACATCGCTTTGAAACCACCGAGGGACGACAACCCGTGCAGTACTTCTCCATCTACTTTCCACGTTTATGAATTCACTTTCGGTAAGAGGATAGCTATTATTTCAAACGTATTTTGTAGCAAA